GAGTTTATGATTTAATGTTATTCATAGAAATTTTAGAAAAATCATATCTTGTTTGTTATAATTAATTAAGTAAAAAAACATTTTGTTTTAGATTTCTAATTTGCATGCATATATAAAATTCTTGAATGAAATAAGCTGTTGCCCCATAGGGGAGGGTTTTGTGTGTGATTGTTCCTATAAAAAAAAAAAAGGAAAAGAAAACTCCCAATCCATTAAAACAAATCAAACTTAGGATCAATGATCGTTGATCCGTTTAATTCAATGTATCAATTTCCAGATGATGCCATTTTTTTACTACGTACATACCTATTGATATCATCTGTATATAATCACTCGCTTCTTTCTTGTGGATGACTTTTCTTATTAGTTAAAGTGAACCATTCAAAGATTCAGTTTTTTAACGACGTATTTGCTGATATGTCCATTCACTTTCTTCACTTCACAGCCATTTACTTGAAAAGGAAGGATCCCACATATCAGAAAACTACGTTTCTAACGGACTGAAATGGACTTACCATCCAAATATAAAAAACTGGAAATAGAAAGAAAAGTGTTTAAGAAAAGAAACAAACAGGTAAGAGCTGGTGGGAAATATAGTGCACTTTACGTCACTGATATAAAGTGGTTTCAGCCAAACAATTTTCAGTAAAATATTAGGAAAGCTTGATGCTATCGTTTTGCTTCCTAATTGTTTTGTTAATGTTGTTTTGTTAATGTTTACACAAAGTTACAAACTATAATTAGATTAGAGAAGTTTAGATTTTGATAGGTAATGGACGATTTGCGAAAGAGACACCTGACTGAAACATATATGGATGATGTTGCAAGAATGCAAGATATATATATATATATATATATATATATATTTATAAGAATATTGCCATGAGAGAGAGATGTTCCATTTGAGAAATAATTGTCGATCAATTTGCTCTTCAAATTTTCAAATCACAACCAAAAGATTAAAGAAATGATATATATATATATGTATGTATGTATGTATATGTAAGAGTTATATTAGGGAAAATTAATACCCAAATTTCTATAATTTTACCTTAATTTTAATTAAGTCCTTATAATTTATTTAATTATAGGTATTGATCTGTATACTCATAATTTGTTAATTTGTAAGAGAAATGATACCGATAACTTATATGTAAATCCCACTCAACATGTATCTGGATTAATTTTTCCACATGATCTAAATAAAATCAAAATAACCATATTATATATTATATATTGATACAAGGAGACATTTATGAGCATAATAGTTTATTTTTATGCTCAGAATAAACAAATTTTGTTAAATCATTTTATTTTTAAAATTTTTTTTCTTGTTTTGTATTTGCTGGCAACTTATATGTTGATTAGTCAACATGTATTTCAGCTCGAATTAACAAATTACAAATATAAAGATTTAGGCCTATAATTGAAGTAATTGAAAGATCTAACAAAAACCACTGCAGAAGCCTAATTAGAAATAAGATAAAATTATAAGCACCGATGAATTAATTTTTAAAAGGAATGTACTGTATAATAGCATGTGAAAAAATTTGTGTCCAGTGAATACAATTATTTTGATCATGAGAATATTCTCATGTTTCATTTGATAACATCAGTGTTGAGTAGGTGAAACGCATTAATTAACTAGTAACTTTTTCTTTTAATAATAAAAAAGAGGTGATAAGCCTATTAAATGGAGGCCATGAACATTTAACCAAACATGGTCTATCTAGAGAAACAAAACAAAAAGCAAATGAAAAGAAACTTATATGTATGGCAATAAATTGAAAAGCAGCGTGTGCATGCTTTGTCTTGAAGGGCACGTACTCAACAAACACAGATTCAAACAAACTAATTAAACAACTATATCCTCATTGTTCCTCCATGTTTGGAGCTATGCCTACAAATAAAAGAAACAACTCGTTCTCAGTTTTGCACTACACATCTTCACATTAATCAGAGTCCTTAATTGTTTCTTACTTTCTTCTTTGCCTTTGCCCTGAAAACCCTAAATGGGGTCATGTGGGTTCCAGAGATTATCATCATTTACTACTCATGTTATCTTCTTCTCTGTCCTGATAACATTATTAAACCTTTACAAGAGCAATGCAATGGTAGTGCTTGAACAATGGAAGGAGAGTAAAAGAGATCACCATGATGATGGTGATTCATCAGGATCATCAGTAGTGAGAAGGAAGTGTGATTTGTTTGAAGGAAGGTGGGTTTATGATGAGACTTACCCTCTCTACAAAGCGTCAAGTTGTCCTTTCATTGAACAAGAATTTGATTGCCAGAAAAATGGACGACCAGACAGTTTCTATCAGAAATATAGATGGCAGCCAAACGCTTGTGCTCTCCCGAGGTGATGTTCTGCTTTGTCTTTCTCTTTCTTGGTTTCCAAGCCTTTGTTTTTCTTTTCTTTTTTTTCTTTCTTTTTGGGGGGGTGGGTTTCACACTATTTGAAAGCAAAATTTGTTAGAATATATATATTAAACAAAATGTTACCTCCGATTAATGTCCATTTTAAACTTCTTATTAGGGATTGTTTTAAACTATCTGCTTTTTACCTCTTAGTAAGCTAAAAGATCTTTACTTATAATAAAAGTAGAACAGTGTGTTTAGCATCCTTCTATCTATTTAAACCAGTGTTATTAAAACCGGACGGAACTAGAAATAGCCAGTTGAATAATGCATATAGAAATTGAGTCTGTCAAAATTTGTACATATAATGATAATCACTTACCACTGATTTTGACGAGTCAATATTCGTTACATTTTCTTAAATACTCATTCTAATCCTCTAGATATGTAATGATAAGAACATGTATAATCCTTACGCATTAAATATCTCATCTCTTTGGGTGTCTACAATGCTTGTTAGTTTCACATTATTTATGTATAGGTAAAGTTGTTTAATTCCTTGCTAGCTACATTGGATATTGTAGGAGAGAATAATTAGAATCTCACCTTTAACCACTTATGTGAGATTATCAGTGAGAAATATTTTTATCTAAATGATATATATATATATATATATATATATGTTGTAATGCAGGTATAAGGGACAAGATTTGTTGAGGGAATTGAAGGGGAAGAAAATATTATTTGTTGGGGACTCCCTTAGCCTCAATCAGTGGCAATCACTGATTTGCATGCTGCATGTTGCTGCTCCTCATTCAGGATACAGTCTTCACAGAGTAGGAGGCCTCTCCACCTTCACTTTACCTGTGAGTTCAATCTCTATTTCCTCATTAACCACCATAACTTGAGATTATATACATTGACTTATTGATTAGTTTGCTTTAATTGATTGATTAAGTATTTAATTTGCAGGAGTATAAGATTTCTGTAATGTTGTCTCGTAATGCACTTTTGGTAGATATAGTGAAAGAGAAGATAGGGACTGTTCTGAAGCTTGATTCCGTTGAGAATAATGGGAATTCATGGAAAGGATACGATGTGATCATCTTCAATACCTGGCACTGGTGGCTTCATAAAGGCCACCAACAACCGTAACCTACTCTTAGTCTTGCAAATTAATTAAAAGGGTTTTCGAAATTAATTAGTCATACCAAATTGGAAGTTCTACTTGATGAAAAGCTAATATGAATTATTGAATCCTTTATTGCATTGGCTGTGGATTTCAGATGGGAGTATATTCAAGTGGGGAATAAGATAGAGAAGGACATGAATAGGTTGGATGCTTTCAGAGAAGCAATAAGAACATGGTCAAAATGGGTGGACTCTAATGTCAATCCTAACATCACCAAAGTTTTCTTTCAGTCCACCTCTCCAACCCACTACGAGTAATAATCTCTTCCCTTCTCATCATTATTATGCATTCATAAAACTAAATATTACATAGTTTCTCACAATTGAACCTCACATTTATGGTCAATCAAAATATGACATCATAATCAACTTGATAGTTATTAGTTTTTTCCTGTACATAATTCGCATAAATTTTATTACAACTGAATTTCTTTTTAATTTTTGATGGAGCAGTGGAGAGGAGTGGAATGAGGCCAGCTCAAGCACATGCAGAGGACAGACCATACCCATGGGAGGTTCAAGATATTCAACAGGTCCACCAAAAGCAGCAGTGATAGTGAAGCAAGTGTTGGGTCAAATGGCCAAACCTGTTGGTTTGTTGGACATCACAACTCTTTCTCAGCTCAGGAGAGATGGCCATCCATCTGTTTATGGCGTTTATGGTGAGAGGGGAAATGATTGTAGCCATTGGTGCCTTCCTGGTGTCCCTGACACTTGGAACCAACTCTTGCTTGCTATGCTTGTGAACAAGTAGTTTTTTCTTTTATCAAGGGAAATTCGGAGTTAATTCTCAATCATTTTGATCAATTTACAATTTCAATCTACATGAACCCCCACCCCCCACCCCAAAAAAATAATAAAAAAAAATTGGATCATTTTCAGGCATTGCGATGTGATTATAGGGTGTGGCACTAGCTTAGGAATTCTTACAGATGAGATCCTCTGCATTTATTTTGGGTCAGTGTTCTTTTTTTTTTTTTGGGGGTGTAATTATGATACGTAAACCCTATCCACAGTCACATTTTCTTTCCCGGTTAGAAGTCAAATTTTTATTTCAATCTCTCAGTGATTATGATATGTAAACCCTATCCACAGTCACATTTTCTTTCCCGGTTAAAAGTCAAATTTTTATTTCAATCTCTCAGTGAGTGCATCCAATTTATAGTTCTTATGCTCTTCCTTTAATTACTATAAATCATAACCAAATACCTTCTGCCTATCAGTTTTACTAAGTAAAGGCTAAACCCTCATAAGATACTAACTCCAAGCTTGAGAAGGAAAATAATTGTATCAAAGTTAAGGTGGCGTTACAAGATTTTCCCAGACAACATAACATGTGAACATTTTCATAACTTATCAGCAGGGCACTGAATATTTAAAAGATCTTCCCCTTTCATAATTTAATTTAAGAACTTAATAATAAATACCATTTAAAAAGACTCCACATATAGTTTTCATAACTGTGCTATTCTTTTAAACGGGGAAAGAAAATGAATTATGAAACACTTGCTTCACAAAGTTACCACGATTGCAAAATGCGTAATGAAGAAATTTTACATGACTAAGAACTCACAGCTACAACATAAAGAATTCATGAGATATTAAGCAGACGGCCTTGAATAAAAACAAACTCTACAATAATCGGACACTTCTACAGCCAACGCAGACATCAAAACAAAGTAGGACTTAAGGAGCTCAGTAGTATTTGAAACCATAAGGCAATTGCCAATGTCTGCCATATCCCATATTCTGTTCACAGGAATACCTATCTCTGCCTTTGTATTCTTTTGTCCCTTATTGGTAACTCGATGGGCTTTTGGGCCTGATGAGGATGATCGGGGCCCTTATAAACCTTTAGGTGGGTGAACAGCTGTCTGCCAAGCTGCACATACCAACCCTTGATTATTGTAAATTCAACTGAAAGATAACATTCATGGAGATACCATCACAGCAAAGCATGCAATATTGATTGAAAGCACAACCACAGAAGCATGGATCCTCTAAGGGGTGAGGATCTGTGCAGTGGTGTAGAGACCAAGTATAAGGAGGCCGATGTCACCTTTTTTATTTTTCAAAAAATATTTTCTTCCAAGAATGTGCAAAATCAGACACAGCACATGCCAATAAAAGATAAGATGGAGGTATGATTCCAGGAAGGCCCAGCTCAAATATGCTTAATACATACATGCACACACACACATATATAAATCATCTGTGTGTATATATACACAGATAGGCATATGCGTGCCAGATATAACATAGAGTTTAAGTGGAAAAATGAAAAATAGTAGGGTAAAAAGTCAAGAGTCAACATATTTCAACCTGCGTAGCAACATCAAAATAGAAAAACGTTTGGCTCATGATACCAACTAGTTTGAACCAAATGGCGCCATGCCTACTAGTTATATCAAAATCATATGAACATAAAAATCAATATCAGTTCAATTACAAGCCCCTCAATTGTCATCACTTAGTTTATCACATTTTGACCAAACATGAGGATAAGAAACCCAATTAGCTTTCTGAGATGTTTTACGAACAAGTCAAGCATTTTGGCCTTTCCCACTATGTTTTTTTCATCGGTTTTGGCTGATGAATTCAAATGTCACGAAAAATAATAATCAAATGTACAATGATCTATTTCTTAAGAAGTACCAAAAGCAATATAAACAAACCAGGCATTCTTCAAACAAGTTAGTATGTATTCAGCAAAAGAAGAGTATGACATAAATTGGTTGAGCCTACCCTCCCCTTTGGAAGCATGCCACGAACAGCATGTTCAATAATTCTTTCTGGAATTCTCGCCTGTAGTTGGGCAAATGTCTCTACTTTCATACCACCAGGTCGTCCTGAATGCCTCCTGTAAAGCTTTTGGGTCCTCTTTTTTCCAGATACAGCAATTTTTTCCGCATTAACCTGTCCATCTCAAGTGTAAGTGAAACTTAGACTCTGTTTAGCAATGATGTAATAATAATAAATACAAATCTAATCAATATTTGAGCCTGTTCCCCTACTAATCAATATTTGAGATTTTGAATTCATGATTCTTCTAGTTCTTAAATACAAATCTAATTTTAAATTCGTTATTCATTCCCCTACCAGGTGACGTTTTCTTCTTGAAAAGACAATTTGAAAATCTAAAGCTCCTTCTAATGTTAAGTCTTTTGTTTGGACAAGAAAAGTACTCACTACAATGATATACAGCAAATTTATATTCACTGACCCCATATAGCAATTTCTCAGATATGTATATGATGTGCGGAACTGATTAACCTAGTCACAATTGTTTCTCAATCGTCCAGCTATGTGTTACCTCCAAAACTGCTGTTTGGGTATTTTTGGCAAGATTTATCTCTAGGTGTTACCCTATTGCTTCAGAGCAATATCTCCTTATTCGGTTCAAAGGGTTTGGCAACAATGAGACAAAACATGAAGTGATGCGTCGTCTTTTGGGATTCTCTGTTTTGTTGAAGAGAATGCCCATATATTCAAGGGCACAGCATCTTCACCTTCACATATGTTATCAGATAGAAATGCGTTTATGGCTTCCCCTTGGTACCCTGTGCACGGGCTTTTCAAGGGAATAACTTAATTTGACATGCAAAGAGATTGGATAGCTCTTTGACTCATGAGTCAATGGTAATTGATACTGTATTCTGTTTTCAGGTGGCCTCATCTCTTCTGATTTTCAGTATAACTAATCTTCCAATATGTAGTACTTTGTTTTTTCTCCAATAAAATTTCTTCTGTATCCAAAAAAATACGAATATGTGAAATGCAATAAGTTTCCTTACTACTCAAGGAGTGAATGCAAAAATGATAAATAACCACACAACGTTTTTTTTTTTTAACCTCATTTCATAGTAAATTAACAATGAGTAGTAAAATCATAGAGAAAGATGTTTCTTCGACCCCCAGGGGACCAGGAAGAGGGAGGGGTTTCAAAGACTCGAGCATGATATGCATAACTGTCATGCATAGGATGCATTCTAGCATAAACAGCAAACCAGAAGAGTCATGCTTCCATCAACAACATATACATCATGTAGTTAATAAACTTGGTACAGGAGAAAAACAGTAATGTAGAAATGCAAAATGCTCACCACAACTACAAATGCACCCATGTCCACACTGGGAGTATAGGTTGCCAAATTTTTCCCTCGGATGTGAATTGCAATAGTTGAAGCTAGTCTTCCAAGAATTTTATCTGTAGCATCAACAATGTACCATTGTTTATCTGTGTTAACATGATCTGCTGCTTTTGGATACCAAGTCTTGTTCCAAATGTCCTGTGTATATACACACACACAGTGGGTTGATTGATGAATTCTCATAAGGGAATACAAAGTTTATAAATATATCTTAAATGCAGCGAACAATTCCAGAAATTTAACCAAATGTTCCAAAAACAAAACTCCAAAGTTCATAAAAAAGAGAGTACGTAGGTGGTGTATAACAAAAAGTACTAAAAGGCTCAGCATTTTATGAATTTCAAAACTACACAAAAGTAAGTACTACAATTAATTTACTTCAACTTCAAAACTCGATTGTTCGAGCTCAAACATGTTTACTTTAAATCATCAATAACAAGAATACCTCAGAAAACCCAACGAATGTTCCTCTAGCTCATTTCATTCCTTCATCATTCTAACGGAGCTGGATTAATTATACGAAAAGGAAAAGAGGGGACATCAGCGCTAAAGACTTCCGTAACACAAACCATTCCTAGCTTTTGTTTTCATCAACTTAAAAACGTGAACTTTTCCAATGTTTGCCTTTCGGGCTCGGTTCCACATTAACGAATAACCCAATAATTTCAGGGGAATTTCCTCGACATGTTCTCGGATTCCAACAAAAAGCCCCATAAATCGGTTAATAGCGGAAGACAAGAAAATCATAGAGTTAATAGAGCAGAGTCGTACCGGGCCATTGACTTCGGACTCCTCGAACATCCAACGTTCATCTTTAGGGACAATGGAGAGGTCCTGGCAACGCACCCGAGAACTTGCCCTAGAATTGAGGCGCAAATTGGTCCGTATAGAAGGCTTTGGTGATGGCAACTGGAAGCCAAGAAATGCGGTTTTGGCATTCCCATTGTGGGAAGAAGCATAGGAAGATTTAGCAGAAGATGAAAGGAACGTCACTGAAGATGAACCACAGAGCAGAGCCATGGATGCTCCTCTTCTTCCCTTTGCTATCCTCAATTGATGGTTGGGATAACGTTAATAGGCTGTGCTGTAAAGCGTGGAGGGGAAGCACAAAAGCACCTCCCCGTGGTAGGCTGGGAAAAAGAAAATTACTACCGTTGTCCGTTGAGGAAAAAAATTCTGGCAAAAAAAGGAACCAAAAAAAGAAAAAAAGAAGAAGAAAATAATCTACTGAGAAATTAAAAAAAATTACAAGAAAAAAGTTTGTTTTTTTTTTTTTTTGGTGATACACGAGTGACCCAGTCACCAATTTCCTAAGCCTCTAGGCACTCCGACTCCTCCTACACCTTCCTGCAATAGTTGATGTATTTCTCTTGGCGGTAAGTCCCACGTTTTCTATTGTTGAGGCAGTGATAAACTCATCTTTGCCATCATATGAGCACATTGATTTCCTTCCTGATAAATATGCCCAAATTCCGGTTGCCATTCTCTCCGTATTAGCTCCTGTATCATGCTCGTTAATCTTCTGTACCCTTCTATTTTTTTCTTTTTCCTGATTTGCTTAATGATCTCCTTTGCATCTGATTCAACTTGGATTTTTCGGAGTCCCAAATTCCAACAAAACTTTAGTCCCTCTATGATACCTCACACTTTAGCCATTGCTGCGGCCTAAACCTCTAATCTATGGGAAAAACCCCCAAGCCATCCCCCTTCACTACCGCGTATAGTCCCACCACACTCGGTTCTTCCTTTCCTTGTTCTCGCTCCATCCAAATTTAGCTTGCACCAACCACTATGAGGCCATGCCCATCCTATCAATGTCTGTTGATCACTCTCTCCTTCTCCAAGTATTTTTTTTTTGTCTAGTTCTGTATGTTCTTAAGAACTCTGCATTGATCTTTTCAGCTTCACACACCATCTCAAATTCTGGTTCATGTATAAACCTATTCTGTCATTTCCAAATGTGCCAGCATGTCATTGCAAAATACTCTGGCCATACACTCTCCTCCTCAGTCTTTTCTTTGTAGTTGAGATCATTCATCAACCACTGCTTCCAGTCTACACTGGACAAATGACCCTTGCAATTCCAAGGTGTCACTCTTTTCCAAATTTATCTAGCATGTGGGCAGTCTCTAAGTGCATGTAGTGTGTCTTCTATTTCGCTTTGGCAAATATGACAATGGACTGATCCCCCATCCCACCTACCTGTCAAGCTTCTCGTTAAAATTCTTTCATGCTTCGCCCTCCACATGAATACCCTTATCCTTTTAGGAACCTTAAGTTTCCACATTTTCTTCCAATCTCTCTCTCTCCCCCTCCTTGTGCTAAGGGATTATTTCTCAATCCACGTAGTTGCTTGCCATTGAGAACACTTTATTTCCATTCAGTTTCCATCTGTACTTTACTCCCTCATTTGTAGCCTCCACTATTATGTTTTCTTTAAAGATGTCCTGGAGTTTCGCTAATTCCTCCCACAACCTCGAGTCCCCTATCTTTGCGATGATTTGATCTTCTGTCTCACCATGTTGCTGGTACTTTCCCATCAAAACTTGGACCCATAGATCATTTGGATTGCACTTGATTCTTCATAGTAGCTTCAACAGAAAAGCATCATTCACTGTGTTAAGAGATTTAACACATGATCCTCCACCACCTTTTGGTTTCCATAAGGTATCCCACGATAGCACATGCCAGTTCTTCTTTCCTCTTTATCACCCCAACTGAAACTCCTTCGTATCCTCTCTAGGTCCTCCATGATTCCTTTAGGTAATCTATCATGCGGCATAGTATAAAGAGCCATCATGTTGGTGACCGAGTTTACTAGAGTAAGTATCCCTACTAGTGATAAGCTTTCCACCTTCCACTTATTCAGTTTGCTTCTGACCCTTTCCACCACTTTAGCATATCTTTCTTTCTTGTGTCTGGGAAAGGAAATCTCAACTCCCAAGTACCTCCCCAAGCCCTCGACTTGTCTGAATCTACTCCTTTTACAGATATCTCTCCTTACATGATTAGTCACATTTAGAGAGAAGAAAATCTGGGTTTTTTTGCTGCTTACTCTGTGACCTGAAATCAAACCAAAATCCTGTAGACAGTCTAAAATAATGGCAATTTGGTTGGTGTTTGCTTCTAAAAATAAAACTAAATCATCAACAAACATCATATAGAAAATTATGGGCCTTTTTTTGCCAGCTCTCATGCCTCTCCATTTTCTCTCTCTCACTTTATCAAGTATGAGGTGTGTGAGCTTTTCCATACCAAGTACAAAGAGATAAGGAGAGATTAGATCCCCTTGCCTTAGGCCTCTAGACAGTTTGAAACCTTCCACCATGCCATAGGATCTGTGTTCTGGTAGTAGTAATACACCCCATGATCTTTCTAATCATTGCTTTTGGGACTTTTAGTTCCTTGAGCACATTTTCCATGAAACTCCAACTAATTCTATTATAGGCTTTTTCTAAATTGACTTTAATTGCCATAAAGCTTTTTTTTCCCCTTCTTCTTTCTCATAAAATGTATCATCTCGTTCATCACAATGATGTTGTCATGAATTTTCCTTCCTAGTACAAAACTCACTAAAAGGGGATATTATTCTGGCCATAATACTCTTCAGACGTCTGACTATTATCTTTGAGAGGCATTTATATGCCACATTGCAAAGCGATATAGGTGGAAATTGTTTAACTCTTTATAGGCACTCCACTTTTGGCATTAACACAATCGGTGTCTTGTTACCTTTTGTGATATCTTTTGTTCCTTCCACATTTTCTTCACCATATCACAGACACTCTTTCCCACCACCTCCCAATTCTTTTGGAAAATTATAGCTAGGAATCCATCCTTCCCAGGTGCTTTGAGCCCACTAATTGAAAACATTACTTCCTTGATGTTTGTGTCATTTATCCTCTTGTTTATAATCTCCCATTCCTCATGAGATATCTCAAGCCACGAGTGCATTGTTGATAGCCATTCCTTGGTTTGTTCATCTTCCTTGAATAGATCCTAGAAGAAAGAGTTAATAAGCTGTCCCGTTGCCTCCTTTCCTTCCACCCAACCTCCTATGTCATTTTTCAAGGTTGTAATCTTATTCTTCCTCCTTCTTATTGTTGTCTTTGTGCGGTAAAATGTTGTATTTCTATCTCCATCATTTAGCCATTTCATCCTAGCCTTTTGATGCCACATGATTTCCTCCCTCTTTAGAATTTCTTCCAACTATTCTCTTAACTTTTCTTCTAATTTTTTGAGATGGGGCCTATAGTTTTAGTGCAAGCTTTTTTGTACCCTAACAGTCCTTCCCAATAATTCTTTCTTCTTCTTTGCAATATGGCCAAAAGTATGTTCATTCCATTCTACTAGACATCTTTCAAAGCCTCCCAAACTCTCCTATAAGTTTTGTGAGTGCTTCCAATTCTCATTCAACATACTGCCAAATTCAACATGCTGAAGCCACATAGCTTTAAACTGAAAAGATCTTTTCCTACGATCACCCTTATCGACAGATAGATAAATTAATAATAGGTGGTGATCAGACTAAATCCTGGGCCCTGCTCTCACAAAAGCTTCACTAAAATTCCTCCTCCAATCTATATTGCACATGGCTCTATCAAGATTTTTATATAACCAGCTTCCATAAGCAATAATAGGCCCTCCCTACGTAAAACTTAGGCCTTCTAATCCCAGGTCCATAAGATTGCACCTTTTGATATTAGCACAAAACCTAACGTATTTTTTGACATTCATCTCCCACCCCCACCTCATTGTTCATTACTGTTCATAATATCATTAAAGTCCCTTGCAAGCATCCAAGTTCCTTGACACCACGTAGCTATCGCTTGTAGTTGTTCCCAGAGAATTTTTCATTCGCTTTCTCTTGGGCTGGCATAAATAGCAGTGCAAAACTAGTTCCCTCCCCCCCCCACCAGTGATTTCACAATAGATAAATTGTTTTTGGCTTTTAATTTCTCTGATTAGAATATCTTCCTCATCCCACAGTATCCAAATACCCCCTAACATGACTTGGGCATCAACCATAACATGATAACAAAAGCCCAAATTTCTAATAAATCGTTTTTCTTTTTCTCCATGACAATAAGTTTCAACCAACATAAATATTTTGGATCTAAATCTTTGTTTAAATTCTTTTGGAGCAATGCCAAGCTCCTTGTTAGCTACTCCTCTTATATTCCATGTTAATACCATTAAGTATTATGACAGAAGGATAAGTCACAATATCTCTTAATTCTCGCTTCTCAATTTCTGTGTCTCCATATGCTACACTGCATCTCCTATGTCATTTTCACTTGCTAATATGAGTATATTCTTAAGGCCTCCTAAATGCTGCTATACTTCTGAAAGGCCCATTATCATACTGCTTAGATTTGGATTCGGGGTTTCCCTTAGTCCAGTCTATTGAGCCTAGCACTTGATCTGGGAGGCTTTCAAGGAAATGATCCATAATATGATATTTCCCATCCATCTCAATATTCGCTTTAAGCCCAAACAAAGTTGACTCGCGTTTTGTAACATCCAAAGTTTTGGGCTTAGAAGTACCAGTAATAGCCTGAATTAGATAGGCTATCAGACCCTTTTTTAGCAGAAGTCCCAAAGATGAGAAAGGAAGTCAAAGTAGTTTCAGGGACTAAACTGCAAAGTAAAAGTTTTAAGGGGCTAAAGTGTAATAAAGTTAAAGGCTCTAGTAAAGTCTCGAAGGCCCAGAGAGAGAGAAAAGAAACTAGACACAGGTCAAAGGTTAAGTTAGAAACCTCAAAGAGACGATTAATGAAGTTAAGTCCAAGCAGGGACTAAATTGTAAATTCTGAAAGTTATGACCAACAGGGGTAAAAATGGAAGAGGGTACATAAAATTCTAAGAAAAATCCTAGAAAATGGGAAATAATATTCTAAGACTCTTCTATGAAGAGAAAAGATGAAAATACCCCTGAGGCAGCTTAAACGGAATTTATGAGGTTGTGACCGGTAAAAAATATACTGTTTGAGGTAATTATTTGAAATAGCAAGAGACCTCAAAAATGTATACAAAAATGAGGTTAAATGGTTGAAAGGTTGTACTAATTTATAAAATTAGTCCCGCAACCAAAAGGCCAGTAGAGTGGCTTTAAGAAATTAAAGAGCCGGT